GCCACTACCACTACTACTACTTCTACACCACTACTGACTCAGATTGCACGAAAGGACCCAGTTGCCGAGAACGAGGCCATGTCTCCGGCCCTTCGAGTCAGCCTGGGTGGGGAGGCAGGGCTGGCCACTTGTAAGATAGGCTTCTGCGGTGGGTTCTTGTTCGGGTAGCAGCAGGCGTGTTGTTTCGTTGAGTGGCGATTGTCTTTGTTGTGCCCAGTTGTTGCTGTACTTGCTGCCGAGGGAAACAGTGAAAGTGTGGTTTTTCTTTTTGTGGTTGTTGGCTAACGACGACGAATGGCAAGATTTGCTGAACCACCAGCACCAGCAGCACGACAAAGAGGCCAGCGCGAGGCCGCCAGCACTTCCAGCACCTCTCACCGCCCGCCCACCCACCCCGGTACACTGGGAGACTTCCATTTTGAGGATTTGTTCATCCATTTTCTGGTTAGGTACGATACCCATGTCCATTTTGCGCATCCATGTTGCGGTGGGCCGGAAATGAACGTCCACTGTCTGGGAAAATGGATGCAATCTGGATGTAAAGTGGATGTGGGGAAATAGACGTCCATCTCCGGCATGTGTGGAAAATGGATATGAATTGCACGTCGCCCCTGCACCACCCAACACCCTTGGTGGGGTGGATTGGCTGTGGTTGGTGGGGCTGGAGTCGGATTCCTGACCACTGCACGAAGCCCTGCTGCGACATCATGCGTTCTGTGAAGGGAAGGATTATAGATTTCAAAGTTTACTCGTTGTTGTTGGTTTGTTTTGTTGGTTCTATCGTGTTCTGTTTGCCTGCATTTGTCTTCAACGTGTCTTTAATTGAAGCTATTTGTTTCTATTCGTCGATATTGTGTCTGGGTTTGTCTTCGGTTGTCCTTGTGCGGTGAAATTTGATTTTAGTTAGCTTCATTTGCCTTTAATTGGTCTGTGGCGGTCGCTGTTTGCCTTTTATGACAAGGATGTCCTGGCGGTTTCGGTTGTTGTTGTTGTTGGTGGTGGT